TATATAATTAGGTGCATGCACATGTGCAATTACCACAGTGCACCACTGTAATGTTGGATCAGAAAGCTGCAAAGTAATCTTGAGGTTCCAAATAGGTGTGCCCTATAAAGCATGACAAAATTGTTTTTTTTACAACTATTAGGGCTCATTCACATTGGTGCACATCTGTTACTGTAAGGCATGCAAACCCATGCAGAGACCTGCCCCTAGGAGGGACAGGTGCAGTGTGTGTGCAGTTGCCTGTACATTCCTAAGGGAGGATGTAGCGGCATGCAGCTACATGACCATGTCCAAATGCATGCACACGGACCTGCATAGATGTGCAGGTTCAAGTTAGTGTGTAGTTGCATACAGCCGAGTTCTCCCAAGGGGAAGTACAGGCACGGAATTACACGCTGCACTAGTACTTGCCTGGAGCAGATTTCTGCACGGATGTGCACGCCTTACAGATGTGCTAGCCTGTGTGAATGAGCCCCTAGGTTTAGGTGCAACTACACCTTCATTAAAGCAGACCTCTGGGCAAAAAGGTTTTTCACCTTTACAGTGGCGCTACCCCCGCACTGCAAGGGTTAAGTGTAGGGCTGCAACCAACTAATTGATTATGAGAATAGTTGTCAACTATTCTCATTATGGATTAGTTGGTTGGATCCCCTAGCTCTTTCCTCCACGCAGGGAGGAGGGCACAGCAAGCAGTGGGTGGGTGCAATAGCCAGCCTGTTATTGGCTATTGCAATTTGAAATGGCTAATAGCAGGCTGGCTATTGCACCCGCCCACTACCTGTTGGATTTAAATTCAGCTGCCGTCTGTGGAATCTTGCCACTGGCAGCTGTCATTCCCTGGTTGAAGCTCCATGTGCTTACAATACAATTTAAGAAAACAAATACAATTATTTAATAATTTTTTTAAAAGCTGGGGGAAAAAATAAAACATTTTCGGTTTCAGCCTGACAAATTCTGCTGCGGGAGGTGTGGGGCAGTGCCATTAATTTCCAATGGCACCTCAAATGCGCCTTCCACCCACAGTGTGATCACCCACACTGGAACGCACGGTACCGCAAGGATGTGCGTTCCAGTGCAGTGCAATTGCAAAAAAATTGTTTTATTAATAAAATTCCACCCAGCACTGTTCTTTCAAATTAGACTATATCTAAAAGCAATATTTTATACACCTATTCTATTATCAGCCCAGCCAGCTACATGAAAACTGCAGGTATTCTCACAATAATTCCCCACCTCCATCAGAAGGAGTGATCAGAGTTATATTTTAGGATTGTCATGTCAAATCCTGACATCCTCATGGAAACCAAACTCCCGACAGGCATTAGATCTGTCAAGAGATGTGGGTTGCCTTTAAATGCAGTTTGCCGGATCGCTGTATTCCTGCGGTGTATACGGAGATGGTGAATCAGAGTTCTACATTGTGTTTACTAAACAATAAATACAATAACTCATGTAAGTGGGTGGATTATGAACACAAAGCCTCTCGATGGGGCTTTAAACAAAGCTGGAACGCTGTTCCCAAAACCTCCAAAGGATAACATTTAAAAAGTGGGGGGGAAAAAAAAGGAGGCCCGATATGAAAAGTGTGCAAATAAATAATAGTTCATCTTGTCCATAGAGAAGAAAAATGCTGAGCGTCTGCCTTCACATCACTCGTGTCTTGTATACCTTTATAGGTATTAGTTTGTTACAACACTTTGGTGGTAAATGTGTTGCTGATATATTGCAGCATTAGGTACACCTAGGCACGAGATGACAGATGCTGAATTTGGCTCTATGAGATGCAGATTTCTGTGCATAGTTGGAGCTCCTTAATGTTATGGCAAGGCTGGACAAATGCCAGGAACCAGGTAGCCAATACTCCCTAAAAAGTAAAGCTGGCATCTAACGTTTCAAGGTTTTCTCTAGGTCGTCAATGGAGCGGGCTCCTGAAGCAAAAACAAAATCCTGCCGACTCAGACTGAACAGGCTGTCATTATGTTCTGTACTCTATCAACGACAGAAGTGCATCTCACCCCACTCCTTTCTGGAAACCCCAAAGTTGGGTGCTGAAATGAATGCGGACGGCCCAGCTAGAAACAGTAAGGAAGCAGGATGCCACCAGCACACCAAACAAAGGCATCACGTGATCGTATTTATTGATGTAGGTTGTCACATGGAAGCAACGTTTCGGGGCCATGCAGCTTCCCCGTCATCAGGCACAGTATCATACGGAGCCTGATGAAGTGGACCCTGCGTGGCCCTGAAACGTTGCTTCCATGTGATAACATACACCAATAAAACCCATCACTTGACGCTTTCGGTTAGTGTGCTGATGGCATCCTGCTTCCTTACTGTACTCCTATCAGACGCGACTGGGCACCATTGGATGCCACTCGCAATCCATTCAATCCTGCCTAGCATCAGCATCTCAATTTAAATAGCACCGTTCCTGACAGGAAGGAGTTGTGCGATCAGGAGTCTCTTGGATTCCTTACGATAGTCCCAATTTGATTTGTAGGTAGCTTATGGTTAGGCAACTCAAAGACGCAGTCTACAATAGGAGGTACTGGGAGCAATTCAGGGGCAGAAAAAAGATGAGCACCAGACCAAAACAGAGTGCATAAAGAAAGTTTCAATTTGTGTTCATTAAACAGCCAACGTGTTTCAGGGCAGACACAACCCCCTTCTCAGGGCTTGGAAACAATAACAATGAATGAATAGACTCAGACCAAAAAAACCCTCAGGGTTCAGAACTTATTGCAGTATAGGTAGTTTTCAAAATTTGGGAGATGAATAGCATCTATAAGATCTAAATTCTGAGGGTTTTTACTCCATTCATTCATTCTCAGATTACTGTACATCCAGAAATAGGCAGTATAACAATGGAGGACGTTGGATTTGTTGTGGGATTACCGAGAGGGGAAAATGCACTACTGAGAGACTGAGGGAATGTTTCCTCCAAGAGATGGATGACCTGAACTCGACCTACACAAAGTCACTGGACTGGGGCTCAAATGACTGATTTTTTAATAATAGAGGGAGAGCCTTTTTGAACAATTACAAAATTGCTATACGTGGTGAGAGATCAACAAATGTATTCAAAACACACTTGTAAGGTCCGATCTGAAACAATTTCCTCCCTGCTCCATCTTCTCAGAAGAGAACATGAGCTAGTTACTCTTTATTCTTAAGCTGTTCATACACCTATAGATTATCTGCTGATGTTCTATGGTCAGATGGAAAAAGTGCAACAGATTCCTCCATCTATGCTAAACTATGTGGTTGGAGGAATCTCTCGCTTGGCCAAGCATCATTATCTTGCTAGTCGGCCCCGTTGGCTGTTGCACCTTTTCCATCTGACCATAGAACATCTGCAGATAATCTATAGGTGTATGATCAGATTTAAATCAAGTCTCCTGATGTGGTCATGGTCTCACAAGGAAGATGGCGGCTGAGCCTAAAACAGAGAGCTCTAATTTTCCCTTTACAATGCACAATACCCTTCACAACATACAAACCAATCACAGCGTCGTACATACTCCCAACCAAGTCAGCTATATAGTGGTATGTTATCTTCAGGGAAAGAATTCGCAGAGGGGGCACAAACATGAGGCAGGGTCATTAGCTCAGATTATGTCAGTTACATTAGCTATTGTAGATGTTTTTCTTCCGCCACATCTGACCCAGCCTGAGATACAAGTTCAATTATAAATGAGCTCTTTGCATATGTTAGTAGGCTTTCTGCCATTACCCCAGGAACATATATGATGCTTATGATGTGTCTGTGCAACAGAACACAAGCAAGGCACATAGCTGAATTGTCCAATGTACGATACAGTACTTCTCAGTCAATACCCAACCCAAGCTAAAAGAAGAACTCCAGGCAAATAAAATGCTATGCCTTGCAGTGGGGCTACCCGGCACTGCAAGGGTTAAGATTTTATCTGTACCGGGAGCTAAAATAACAAAGCAACTGACCCGAAACACGATCCCGGCAGACCCTTCAGCCTGTCGTCCTATGCTCCAGCAATGGAATGTCCTTCAACATCCATACATCCTATACACTGTAAAGGATGTGATGACTCGCAGGACCTTAGACAGCTGGAGCTGAAGGGGAAAGAGGCTCCAGGGACCAGTCTAGGAGCCAGCCGGGATTGTGGTTCCAGTGAGCAGCTCTCTGTTATTTTAGCTCTCTAGACAAAAGCACTGAACCCTCGCAGTTCAAGTACCTTTAACAGCAATGTAGCTTATATGTGTATCACTCGGCTGTAGATCCCCAAATCCGCTCTGAATTTATACCGACACTGTCTTTCCTTCTGGAGGGTGGCTACTTTTGTTAATAGTTAGGGCTTGTTCATGAGTTACAGTGCGCTCCAGCATGGTTAGCTGCTGGAACGCACTATATTGCATCCCAACTGTCTACCTGCGTTCAGGGCCGGGAGGAGGCATGGGACAGCATTTAATTCAATGGCATCGCAGCCATGCCCCCTGTCCCCAATGCGATCGCCTGCACTAGAAGACGTGGCACAAGGTACAGTGCAATCTGAAAAAATGCTGAATGCAGGAAATTGGCAAGGATGCAATACAATACGTTCCAGTAGCCAACCACGCTGGAGCTCGTGTCAAGCCCTTAGGGTACTTGAAGGCATTTTTAAGATTGAACGCCTGAGGTTAGTGTTACTTTAAGTTAGAAACTACTGTTCTATATCATGCACTGCATCTATGCACCCTCATACTTTTAATTGGCACACAAGATTACTGGGAACCATACTCTAGACATAATGCAATGTCCTCCTATGTATAGACACCCAACAGTGAGCTCTGGACAGTACAGAGAGGGAGGACAATCTGATTGTGTTGCAGGAATTGGAAGCAAAACACAAGGGCTGAGTACAGCTGCTGCCAACTGTTACACATTCTAAAAATAAACACTCTGTTTTTCTCTCCCACATTAAACCCAGTGTTTTACTCCAAGGAAACAGAACACTCTCATTTCAAATAAACAAATCACAGTATTATTGTGAGCCAACAGTGGAAAAAAAAAAAAAAAAGCTAAAAACATTCTTATTGTGCATCTTAACATAACAAAAATAAAGGATATGTATAAACAGGATTGTCTCTCAAATTCTACAGTTAAAGCAGAGATACCTTGCTGGAAATCTGGCCACATCTGTCAAACATGCGCTGGAGAGGATGCGGTAAGGTAGGCTCCTCCAGCCATATTCGGTGGTTCTGTCCAGTAATCCAACACTACTGGCAACGCATACTTGACACATCTAAAGTTATAACGAGGTGTGCTCTTGACCAAGATCGATGGAACTTACCATTTCATTACACACTAGAGTCAACTGCCAACTATCGCAGGTCTCTTATCTCATTTCTTCGCAACACCGCTAAAAGCCTTATCCCTACATACTGGAGGAAGCCATCTGCACTGACCGAGAAGGAATGAATGCTGAGAGTTAAGTATTACTGTATTATAGAAGACATAATACACCATAAATATGACACATATTCCAAATTCTAACAGATCTGGGTATGCTGGTTAGCATTCAAGTTAGGGATGTTCAGATACAAGTACAGATACTTTTCCAGCAATCTGATTGCAAAAAATTAAACAAGTGGAGGCAGCTGTGATTTTTAAAAGGAGCACACGGAGCTCCTGGGATTTGTGCATCCCTGTTTTAATGTGCGATTTGTTAGAAGGGATGCACCGATACCATTTTTTCAAGCACGAGTACTGTTACTTGTCTAGGCATTGACAGATACAAGTACTGATACATATTTGTCTGTCATGCGACAGTTTTTCTAAAAAAATAGACTAATGATTTCAGGACAGTGGTGGAGAGCCATAGCCAGGTCCCAGCTGCAACGGCTGTAACCCTGGTAGTTCTCATGAAAACGCCAAGTATCAGCACTGGTATCTGAACATCCCTAATTTTAGCCTATGAGCAGATACATGTCTGTGACTGCTAAGTAACGGCTCAAGATGTTTTTATAAAGCCAGATTATGATTGCTCCCACCTTGGGAAGCTGGGTGTGAAAGAGAAGGACTCGCTCATTCCTTCTTTTAAGTATTTGCCATTCTACAACCATATGAAGATGTATCTCTATTTACCGAGATGCCAAAATAGCCAGCATGCTTTTGATCCCCAAAACACAATTTAATTTTTTTTTTTTAAAGTATCTATGGCCGATTACTAAAGTTGCTTCAGGCTCCCATCATTACCTTGCAGGCCCCAGCAAATCAAGGACCACACAGAGACCGGCCAAGCTTTATTATCAGATGGATTGACAACCAACAGGGCACTTCTGTACTCTGGAATATACATCAGCGACAACACTTACATGTCTCGTCCTTCCCCGACCGCTGATAGTCTCTTGCTGTCTTCCGTCCAGGCCATGTCTTTAACAATTCCAGAAAAAGGCTGGTATTCATATTTCAGCAGGTGCTCCTTCTGCGTGGTGTCCCAAATTCTTATTTTACCAGTAACATCTAATGAATAAGCACAGGCAACTTCAGTTTATTCCCAAAAACGTGATAATATTTCATCAAGCTCATAATTAAAACGTAATTCTGTTTTGCCCAGAGCCAGTCTTGGGATATGGCCCAGCAGTCACAGAATGTCACCTTCCATGCAAGGTTTCCAAAAAGTGTCTATTAATTGGTTATACAAGTTACACGGCTGTACTTGTTTAGCTCCTATTAGGCCCCATCCACTCAAAAAAACAAAACGCCTGACAGGCCAATGGCAGGAGGTTACGGAGTACCCAAATCTCCTCAGCGGTCTCGGAATATTCAATCTTTGCCAAGTACACCAAGAATGACTTTGTCCACTGCATGTACAAAACCAAGAGCTGCAAACCCAGTTATCACCTGCAGCACCACATAGTGCTGAACCAAGACCACACATCATCTGCTCACATACAGAAGTGTTCTACTCTACAAGCATCTGCAAAAGGACTTTAGTCCACCAAGCACCCTGAGCACAGAGGAAGCTTCCACCATCTTCTACAAGTACCTTCAGGAAGTGGCGACTCATACACGTTACTACACAGGAGGGTCCAAATCTTGGGATCGCATTTCTTTTAAACTATTTGCTTTAAAGTGCCGATACAACACTCAGAGGCAAACACTATTGTCAGAGATGGATGTTTTATGCATTAGAGCTATACAGCTGCATGTCTTAGCTTTGTCTCTGGCAATGAGAAACTTATAGGCAAAAGCTTTTGGAAAATAGAACAGTCCATGAAGTTTAGTGCTTAGAACAGACAGCATGCAGCTGGTTCATTCACCATTTATCTCAATCGGTACATTTCAAAAAAAGCTGTGTAGAAGCAATTTCAAAATTATATTTGGCTTCTAGAAGGTCTTCTATATATTTGCTCCTGGCAATGGTCAACCACAGCCACTCATGAAACCTTCAATGCTGGCTTTCTGGAGGGTAAATGAAAGGAAATCAAAAAGGGACAGTGATCTTACAAGATTTTCTAACCAGTCCAATGGCTTCTCTCTCTCTACAATAAACTTCTGCAGAGGGTGTGTGCGGGTGCCCATAGCCATTGAAACGTTTATATGGCTGTCAGATCATCTAAAGTCTATGGACACCTTTATACTGCCTCTTAGTGCCACATAAAAAAAAAAAAATGTATATCAGCTAACAAGTCACAACCCCTTTATTTCTTTCCAGGCTGTGAGCTTCCGCTTTATTTTCTTGGTGTCATATAGCAGCCTTTGTCTTTTTATAGTTGAAGCCACAGCAAGTAATACTTCCCATTTCTGTAATCTAAAAAGAAGATCTGGCATATCCAACCTATAATACCGAAGGCTGCATGATAGCAGAACATACAGAACATCAGTAACAGAAGACTACCTACCTCCAGATGCGATGTAGAATCCACTGGGAGCGTATTTGGCAACAACAACTTGATGAGCATGTTCAGTGTAGACATCGGCAATAGCTGGGTTCTGTAAAGAAACCACAAAAGGGAATTACCACAATGTTAGGTTAGGCAGGACACACTGCAGAGTAAGCAGCAGCACTCGAGGGAAAACTCCATGTAACATACATTTTACAGCATTTAGTAACCCATGTCCTGTGAACAGAAGGTGTGCCGCTGTCAGAATACCCAAAGAGTAATTGCAGCCAATTGGCTGCAGTCAATGATAGTCTGGCAATTTTCAGACCAGCTGCCTTGATTGAAAATCGACTTGTCAAATGGAGGGTCCCGAGGGGGCCCATACACTGGCCGAATTTTGGCCAGAGGAGTGGAATTAATTACTGCTGGTACAAAACATAGATATTCAACACAACAGAGGCACAAAACTGTGTGTCACTTTTTTTTTTAGAACACCAGATTTTGAGACCAGTGTGTGAAACTGACAAACTGCATATGCAATGACCATTTGAAACATCTAAAAAGGCGACCCATAAATCGTATTTTTTTTTAACTTAAGAGATCAACCTAATGCCAGCAAGGATCTCCATCTGCTAGTGTATTAAAACCTTATTTATATACATATTTTAAAAATAGCCATGTGCAGCCGTTCTCAACTACTGATATAATGCAATCATTTCTGCATTAGTTGAGTATGTATTCTAGCCCTTGTTCCATTTTTTCTAGACCTTGGTAGGGAACTTGGGAGAAGCTATTTCCCATTACCCATAGTAGGGGGTGCATAACAAAATAATAATGTGATTCAGCAATGCTGACAAGTACGCTATTGATGTATTTAAAGTCCGTTTTACCCAACAGGCAGGTCAGTATACATTCGTCTATCCAATGGGAACGCACGTTTAGATCTAGAGTGATAAGGAGGTGCTTTGTGACCTGTGCCTTGAGGATGTTTGGAAGCTGACATTCATGGACAACCAACTGGTCAGCAACTCTGCTTTCTGTCCCCCAAGATCCTCCATATCGACATTGGTCCCATGATCAGGCAAAGAAAGGATACATATTTGACCATTTAAAAATAAGATTAACTTGTTTGGACTCTCATTTATACATTAGCTTTTTAAAAGCCCATTTCTGGGCATATTTCTTTATGCCTTTGTAGCCCCTCAGTATTATTTTTACACCTTCCTTGCTGTTATGAAAAGTCTTTTTGCTGAAAAATTGTTAAAAAAACCCCCACTTTTCGGTCTCCGTGAAAAGTACAACTCCCACTATACTTCCAGCCAATCACAGGGACATCAGTGAGGGTCTCTGTCGTGTCTCTCAAATAGAGAGTCCCACCGCACTCTTGACCGAGAAGCCCCATATATTGAGGGGGGAGGAGAGGTGCTGAAGAGGCCGCAGATGGCGCCGCCAAATACTTGCAAAACAGAATAAATGGTCACCAGCACTCCAAGTTTTCACAACAAAATCCTTTTATTCAATCTAGCAGGTATATTACCATGCGTGGCAATGTTTCGGAACCTGTCTGGTCCCTTTTTGTTTGCCTGATGAAGAGCCCGGACAGGTTCAGAAACGTTGCCACACATGGTGATATGAATTAATAAAACTTGGGAGTGCTGGTGACCATTTTTTCTGTTTTGCAGGTGTCATGTCTCTGCCCCATTTCTGTACTTTGCCATGTCACCACAGACTAAGTCCAAGATTTATCGTGCCCAGTAGGTTTGCAGATATTAAAATCTTTATAACTATTGAATATGAAGTGTAGAAAAGCTTAAGTTTACTGGCATTTTTTTTTATACTTCAGACAAACAAACTGCACAATTGAAATAGAACTATGGAATTTAATTAAAAATATTGCCATCAAAAATATGAGGGCGGTGACTGTCAACATCCTTCTTATAAAGATCTACTCTATACATCGTGGTAGAAGATGCGGGTCACCTGAGGAGAGAATGCTGTGTCTTCCATGTAAAGGAAGACACAGCATACTCACCTCTCCGGTGGTCTAAGTCTTCTCCATTCCCTTTGTTACAGCACTGCAGCCTCCATCAAACTTTGCTGTGGTTCCATCCTCAATACATGACACAGCATGTGTGATGTGGAGGTTGAAGGATGGATCCACGGTACATGAAGGGGGTAGAGGCATCCAAAACTTCAGGAAGTATCAAATCACCTGTATGGCAGCCCATGCCTTCCCCCCAATCTAGCTCAGCAACCTCTAAGGGCTCATACCCATTTGGATTCTGCACCCATACAAAGTAAATATGTACACAAGTGTATGCCAGTGCATGTACACACCTACAGCCATTGACATATATGAGGGGCTGTATGCAGCACATGTGGCTCCCTGGCTGGGGGAATGGGACAAAAGTTATACAGGTGCCCATATGAGCACTTAGGAGGTCGCTGAGATAGAACGGAGGGAACGTAGAAGACATGTGCTGCCACAGGAGTATACTGTGTCCTGTTTTACAGGAACCGAGTCCTTTTAACTGCCAAAGAATTTCCTTTGTATATCATTCTAGAGTGCCCCAGGATTTAGGGCTCCTAGAACTCTTGAAAATACTTCTTTTGTGATGCTTACAATGTTTACTTACATTGAGGTTGATTTAAGAACAGAGAATTGACAGGTGAACTTTAAAAAAGAAAGCATCTGCTTTGGCTAGATAGGTAGGTTAGGGTCACATGGCACATGAGTCAGGTAATTGCTGCTCCCACCAAAGCCTAAGTAGATACAAGTGATTTGCTTTGTCACAAATGTTCTTTGAAGGAAAGTTGCCATTGATAATATGGGGGCTGCCATTTGCCAACCTTCTGAAAATGCTAGCTATGCTCTCAGTACTGCAACCAGCAAAATGAAACTTCTGCTCTCCATAATAGTTCTGGGCCAGCAACTCAAAAAACAAAAACAATGAAGGCAGAAGAGAAGCACAACCACAAGGCAGCATACAATTCAGCAGCTCCCAAATTTGTTAATGACAGGTCTTTTTTAATGTTGGCTAGTGTAGATGGACCGGTCTGTTAAACACAATACATCCAGTGTGTAAAAGCACATATATAAGAATGAATAGCTCCAGTGTCAAAATGAAAACAATAAGCAACATGCATTATTCATTTCCTATTTCCAGAATTAAATTTCCGTTTTGTGAACATGTTCTATAAAAAGTCACAGCACTGCATTCCCATCTGCAAATTAGTACCAGTCTGCTTAAAAAATGAAACCAAAAAAAATTCAGCTTTTAACAAAGTATAACAGGTCCCCAGCAACGCAGTCTTGTGGCCATAAGAAGCCAAGGTCAAAACTGGGCCGATACATAAAGGCAGTACAGACAGGGATGATGATGAGGATGATGATGTATGAAGTGCAGCAACCAGATTCCAGTTTGCAGAAGTCGCATAAAGAAAGATGACTGCTGATAACTTGCCCTTTTTTTTATTCCACAAACAAAAGCAGAGGATTCTTGATAAAGACTGAAGGAAATCTGCCTTATTGCCAGTGGCATCCACCTATACCCAATACCTTACACGGACGTTACAACTACAACCGTGGTCCCTTCCCTTTAACAGACCACTGCACAGCACCCGATAAGGACCACAATGCAAAAATATTGCGATACCTGTACAAATGGTGTGCCAGAAAAAAAAAGGGCAAAATCCATGATCAGAGTCAAACCTCAACAGTTAGGCTGGGTTCACACTGTTGTGTTAACATGCAAAATTATATGTGGTGTGGTGCCATTCATTCTTAATGACACTCCAGTGCACCTTGCCAACACATTTGCATTGCTCCAAAACATACGATAATGCACTACCATTCGTTACGGTTCGGTGAGTTACAAAATAAAAGTACATGCAATTTGTATGCACCTTTCATGGTGCCCTAAAATCCAATTGAAATAAATAGGCTTCCCTAACATAGCCCACATCAACATTAGAATAACACGCAACAACCTATGTGCAACTAAAAGCACCGCAACAGTGTGGACCCAGCCTTACCAATGTCCTTTATCTTTATTAATGCGATACCAAGCCAGTAATGATTTAATCATTTATTATTATACTAAAAACAGAAATAAGAGGGACCTGGAGATGATCATTTTTTTTAGGGGGAAGGACAGATGATAGTGTGTGAATACATGGGTGACTAGCGCAAGACTAGTAAAACTAGAATATGGAGTAGCCCAGCTATGACTGAGATTGGGAATCACATGGACTACATATTATGTGATTTGAATGAACTGGCTTCGGCTGCTATGCTTCGTCTCGTTTGCTCTTCTGCAATTGTTTCATCTCATCGGCTTGGCAGCTGAATGTACTGTATGTGGAAGATATTTATTTATGTTGCCAACTTGGGCCCTTTTCACACGGGAGGTCCGATCGTGTCCGCCTGTCGGTTTTTCAGGCGCACCCAATCGGATGTCCAATGGTAGTCTATGGGCAGCTGGATCTAAACAGATGGGCTTTCATTTTCACCCAGTACCCCAGAACTCTAGCAGGTCCAGAAAAACAAACAGAACAGTGTTCCATTTTGACGGACCAGATCATGATGGATTGGGGTCAAGCTAATGTAAACGGACACTTTTCTGTCTAAATCCGATTCCCCATAGACTGGCATGGGGTACGATCATTTCAGCTTTTTCCTCCATCACAAGATGGAGGAAAAAAACTGGATGGACACGGATGGCACAGCGTGCGTAACAGCGTGCGTAAAAGAGGCTATATGCAGACAAGTGAAGAGGACACATTCTCTAAAAAGAAGTGGCTGTTTTTACCTGGGAAGGGAAGCTATATTATGATTTTTCAATAAAGAAATATCTTTAAAAAGTTACTCTAATAGTGGTGCCATAATCACAATTCCTATATGGATATATATTAATAATTTATTCCATGTGTAAATGTGAAAACCAAAATTGTGCGTCAATGCTACGAAACCCTTGTATTTGTATGCCGTCATGGTTCTTACGTTAACAAGCACACAGATTTGTATTTGTGACTTCACTTGTATCACACTTGGGTCATTGACTCAAAGCACTAAAGCCACAGGGATCAGCTTGAAAGACGAATGGAAGTCTACAAACTTCACTCGGCAAAGACTAAACCGGTCATAGGGGAATTTTTTTTTTTTTAAATAAGGGGCTGCCATTGCCGACATCTTCTAAAAAGACGATTTGTCTGCCTGTACTTGTATCAGCTCTCAGACTTTAAATACGTTGAGTCAATGACAGGGAATAAAATAAGTCAGATTCTCCCATGTCATGTTTCCTATAAACAAGGATTTTAAGTACAAGCATGATGTAAGAATGTCACCAAAGGAAGCATCTCCAAAACAACAAATGAATTAAAGTAACCTATATTTTGGGATGCAAAAGTCTTACAAAGAAAGTACCTTTCAGAGAGATAAGGCAAGTTTATTCAAAAGATATAGCAATCAAAATACCACATAGTTTCTATTTAAATTACAGCACAAAGTATAGACATGTTTATGTGGCTAATTCTTTGAATGTAGGTTCAGTCTGGCTACAACAAGCAAAGTCTGTTTCAGAATTATCAGTTATAAAAGATTCTCTCTCTCCTGTTCTAGAAAGTAAAGTTAGGAGTGGCCATGACTCAGCACACATACACACAGAACACAATCAATGGGCTGTAAAGTCATTGAGATCATCTCCTGCTCCTCAAACATACCTGCAGTGCTCACCTTATAGAGTAAAAAAAAGTCCATGCATTTCCTAGTCCATCTTTCCCAACATAGTCATCAGGGGTACAAAAACCATGACTAGGAGCACATTGCTCCTTCCAGTGCTTTTAACTAGCTATCAATATAAAACATTCAGCAGTGGAGATTCCCCCATCCGTGCTGTTTAGAACGGATGGGGTAATTGAGCGTTTATTCTCTTTAAACCTGCAGAAGGTGAACAAGAAGAAATGCCACGTGTATGGCCAGCTTAAAAAAGGGACTAAAGTTTGGAGTTAAATCTTAAAAATACATTCATGTACCTTAACTATTAACAAAAATGTATCTTATTTGTGCATCACTCAGCTGTAGATCCTCAAATCATCTCTGAATTCATACGACTATTGTCCTTCCATCCACTCCAAGCTCACACCCGTGATGGACTACAATCTCATTAAAAATGAGTACACATAAGATTGTAGTCCATGACAGGAGTGAACTTGGAGCGGTGACTACTTTACAACACACACAGGGACCATGGGGAACCAAAGTAGCCGCCCTCCAGAAGGAAGGACAGTGTCCGCACGAATTCAGAGATGATTTGAGGATCTACAGCCGAGTGATACACAAATAAGATACATTTATGTTATTAAAAGGTACTTGAATGTATTTTTAAGGATTTAACCGCCTGAGTTTAGTGTCACCTTCAGTGGCATTCAACTCAGTGGCATCAGTGTGACCGTTGTTGAACAGCCCATACCAGTGGGTTGGCATTACAAGGTCGTACAACTGGATTTGTCAAGCCCTCGTTATAGAAATTCACTAGTGCAATTACAGAGTTAAAAGCAGCTTCCATACTGAGATAACACATTTGCTTGAACATTAAAGCAGCACTGAGGGGGGGGGGGGGGGGCTTTTTTTTTT